TGGTATTTTCTAATAATTTATCTTTTTTCTTGACAGGAAGGCCTATCGTGTAAAGTTCGAGAGTATTATTTGTTAAAATCATAAGAACCTAGCAAGTTCATAAGTAATGGGTAATGTGAATTATGGCTAAAACAAAATTTATTAAACTTCTTTTTCATATAATTGGCTAATTTTTGTGATCCACCCGTGATTACCCGTGATGAATCAACGACACTTACTAAAAAACTTAATACCTGTCTAAATTAAAATAGTTAACGTTATTAATGATACGTACGTAAAAGTTTATTTAAATCTAACATAGCATAGCGAACATTCGATGTGATTAGCTAATTTTCGTAGATCATTTTATTAATTTTCCTAACGCTAATACGTATAATTAATAATTGTAAGTAACTATCGCCATACGTATATTAGAAAACCATATGGGCTGGTTTATAGAATCGTTAATAACTTTTGATCTATTGATTTATTTATTTAAAATAATTTAGCTACCAAAATGTTTGTCTTAATGAGATGATTAAAATGAGTATAAATTTATATAGGCAACCCATTTCTAATCAGTATATATGCATTAATTGTTCTCAATTTTTTAGATCATTCTCAGTAAGTCGGAATAGGTCGGAAGTAAATTTCAAATATAGTAAAAAAATAGTTTTACGAATCAATTGTATTTAATATTCCAATGAATAATATAAAGTTACAAAGTACTTATCATTTCAATTAACAAGAGATAAAGGCCTAAACATCCTTTTTTTCCACATAGTTGCGCTGATTGGCTTAAATTTTTCATTGATGGATTATAAAAAAATAGTTGTTCAACTTATCCTTTTAACATTAGCAGACGAATTATTAACTTATCGCTTATCGTTATGCTAAAAACTTTGCTACAAATTAAAGACAAGAAATAGAAATTTCTTGGATAATTTTGTTGTAGCAACATATGCATGTTGGTGAAGTCTGAAAGGGCGAAACAGAAACAGAAATTCTTTGTATAGGAATGGTAAAGATAAAAAATAGGAATAATAAAAGTATTTGCACAACCATCAATCGAATTCAGTGTTTCAATTATTTTTTTAACGCTTGAACATAAACACAATCACAATCACATTGAGGAAGATACGTGAGAATACGTCAATTACAACATTATTCGTTTATTAATCGTTAACAAAGTCTATTTAAATTTTACTATAACGGTTGTGCTCCATTACGATCAATTGATGATTTATAGAGTACAGTATGCTACTTGAGAACACCCTTTGTTATTTCTCCGAGAACAGTGAGAATGCTAGAACTTAAAACGCTATGTTTAATATACTACTTTTATTCATAAGATGATCCTCTCTTATTATCCTTGCACCGTCTCGCGAATTTTTTGTACTATATTGCGAGTAAATTTCGACAGTGACTTTAAGACTAATATAAAAAATTATTATTGTTACAGCATCCAAGATATAAATTAATTTATTATAGGTTTGATCATGTGAAGCTTAAATTTTTCGCTTCGTCAGTCGTATGTACACAATTCATATGTGATATTGTCTAGAGTTTCAAGAAAATTTTACACTAAAAAACAAAAAAATAGAGTTAAATAAAATAGGTTTTGGATTTTATATATGGACAATATCAAATGATAGGCTGTGCGGGTCTTAACCTTCACTCAGGACCGGAATTCGAGACTCGGCGCCCTTCGTGCTTAACAGCCTTTTCATAACTTGGTGCTGTCGTAACTAGAGATTCTGGTGAATTAATTTTACCAATTCATCAAAAGTGGTGAAATTATTTCACCAGCATTTTCAGTCTTAACCTTCACTCAGAACCGGAATTCGAGACTCGGCGCCTTTCGTGCTTAACCAAGTTATGGTTTGAAGCGTAACATGTTAATAAGTTCAATATCTATTATAAAGCGAAAATAAGAACGCGTAATTGTTCTGATTTGATAATCTTTTTATAAACTGCTGTGCGTAGTGCTTATATCCGACTGAATTTTTTTTACAATTCACTGATTTTTAGGGTTGCGGCTATACTCTTTATTTAATAACAATAATATCACAATCGACAAACTATATATATTATCGTCTTTATTTGAGCTCTTAGCGCCACTAATCCCAAAAATAAGAAGTGCACTCATATCAAAGGGAACATATTCTGCCCTTTCCGGTGCTGTAATATTGAAGTGTTCCAACAATAAAGGTTGTACCATCATTACTTCGGATCTAAAAAAAAAAAATACAAATATATTTCTTTACAATTTAACAATGATCAAATCTTTATTTATTAATAGATAACTTATCCAAGAACTTCAAATTTTATGCAGTTATCTGTAAGACTTTCACCCGTCCGTTTATTAAACCATTCACCATCTTAATATAATTTAGCTAATTCTAATTGTTTATCATCATCATCTCTCCATTCGAAAACATCATCGGGTATGCAACCTCGAAATCTTTTGACATTGAAAGATTCATAAAGCAAAAGGGCAATATGTGTAGGTGATTGTCGAATCACTTTTCACCTTTAATAAAGACAATTAAAAATAGAGAAAAAAAATTTTATCGCAAAATAGATGCGTCCCAAATAACGAAATTAGCTCGCACATAAAAATGACGATATGGTGAATTTTCATATAAATACCCAGATATATCGCATTTAATATTTTTATAGGCAAAAACAATTCCGTCAAATTCTTCGACATATCGCATTACAAGTGGGTTCATATATGTATAAACTCTTTGGTCGAAATCTTCAAAAGCTTTAGGTGGCAAATCAATAAACATTTTAGCTGTAACTATTCGGAAAGGTGAATTTTCTGCTTTCTCAGCATCAACCGATGTATTGGTCAATGTATGATTCTCAACTTAATACGCGGTTAATGTGTTATTAAAAGTAGATCTGCTTCATTTAATACTGCATCGTCTGTGTTAACTTCTTTGTCTGATTTTATCATTATCATTTTTGGGGCGCATGTGAAATCAGCCAATCAAATTTCTGTAAATTTGAAGCAAAACAAGAAAAAAATCAAAAACGACAGTCTTAACTCACCTTGATACGTAGCATTAATAATAAATATATCTTATCTAATCTAACTTAAAATTGCCCTAACCCTAACGCTAAAGCTAATTAAACAAAGTATTAATAGTAGGAGTTTGTGTAACAATGATTTTCAGATAACAGATAAACTTACGTATTATTTACTCACGTATTATATACTCGCTTATTATCATTATTTGCTCTAGTTTTTAACTTTTTTAAAACCTACTTTTATATTGAAAATACGCGACACAGAAAAGTAAGTATCAATTAATGTTAATGTGTTGCAACTAATACTTTTTTTAATAGACTTGAGAACTACTGGTCCTGCATGAGGGATCAGTTA